ACCTCAGATTAAAGAATACAAGAAAACCCCAGAATAAAAACTTTCAAAAGTAAAAACTCCTTTGCTTGGGTTAAATGCAGTTAGCATATCAAGGCCTCACATAAGTAAAAAGTACAGTCATCATGAGCTCAAGGGGTATTCACTGAACAGTGGGAGGAGGAGTAAATTAAGATGGACAACAGAATAAAAGAATCTGGAGGTGTGTGTGTGTGTGTGTGTGTGTGTGTGTGTGTGTGTGTGTGTGTGTGTGTGTGTGAGGTGCTCTGATCCTTATTGACTGGCCTGGGGAAATGGTTTTGCTTGATGGAGGAGATTGTACTCTGATAGAGAGAGAGGGAGAGAGAGGGACAGAGGCCTGATGGAGCTATCAGAGCCCAGACTATCTCTCTCAGTTACTGTAATTTCATACAGGTGCCCACACACCCACCCAACACACACACACACACACACACACACACACACACACACACACACACACACACACGAACACTTAGATACGGACCATCTTCCAACAGACGGACAGGGGTGTCTGGCATCATTAACCTGGCGTCTTTCTAATTCAGACAGATTGTGGATTGTGTGTGTGTTGTGTGTTGTGTGTGTGTGTGTGTGTGTGTGTGTGTGTGTTAGTATGTACTCCCCTCCGTGTATATCTGGTGGTCTAGTTGTGTCTGTGCTCTTGCTAAGTGAGCAACTTCCTGAACTTTGGCCACTGGGATATAGATTTCAAGTAAGATAAATGATTTGCAGACATATTTAGCCTGCAAACACACACACACACACACACACACACACACACACACACACACACACACACACACACACACACACACACACACACACACACACACACACACACACACACACAGGTGAGACTTCTGTTGGCACAGTTCATGTAAGAAGTTTCACTGTAGACTAACTGAAACACATTTCTTTACAAAAGGTTTCTATACAAACTGCAAAGTAAAAGCTGATTATTTAAAATGTATTTTTAATGTTTTCTGTCTCCCGGGCTCATTTGAATTAATCAGGAATATGAGGCTGTGCGAACAGTAATATTAGACAACACAGCAACCAAAAAATGAAGATGCAAGATGTTACCTAACAATGAGATGTGTATCTACAGATGCCACCGGTTGCCTTCCACGGAGGCTGCCATGTTAAACCGCCATGCTTCTACAATAGCCCAGAGTGGACAAACCAATCCAAACACTGGCTCTAGATGAGGCTGTTTGCATGTTTTGTGGCCACCGTAGTTTCTCCCTCGCTTTTGGAAGGGTAAAACGAGTGAGTTGCAATCAGCAAATACACCCAGATGCCACTAAATGCTACACACTGGACCGTTAAAGTACAACACATTCACATTCACATAATAAATAAAACCTAACCCAACTACAATAATTTAACACTAAATGACAGTTACAGTACTAATAACAGCAGAATAAATTATGAGCTGCTATTCTATAAACTCTAGCTTCAAACGTCAACTCTTTTGCTAAGATTTTATATTTAAATGCAATATTGGCGTGATGCCGTCGGGGTGACCCTTACCTCCCAGGTGATAGGTTCCTCCCGTGGTGATGGTGAGAGGTGAGGTGGAGCGCACAGCAGACGCCTCTTCGCCATCTATCGTCAACATGGCAAAGTTCTCCTTGGCGACCAAGCGTATTGCGTGCCATTGGCCGTCGTTAAGGCTTGAACCTGGAAGAGGGGCAGAGATAAAAATGTTTTGAGAACACACACTGCAAGTGTTTTTGCCCAAGCATAAATTATAAACATTGTGTTCTAGAAGTGTAAAGCCTTTGTGGTGAGTTCATGGTTTTAACTGACTGTCTCACTGGTCTAACCCATATCGTCTTTTGACTAGCTACTGACTTTACTTGTAGCAAAAAAATCCAGACCGATTTCAACTTTGTTATAAGAGATTATAAGAGAATGTCAAGGACCTGACTAGGATTTAAGGAAAAGACGACTGAGTGACTCATCATGGGTGAGAAGTATGTGGGTGTTGAAACTAGGAAATGCAATTTCTGTCTATGATGTGTGGATATCCCTCTCTGTTTACCTTCTACTTTGTCAGTATTTTCTCCACAATCATTGCACCCCTGAGTTTTTTACCCAAGCTGCCTGCTGAATGTGGCTTCAGACAGCGTTAAGACATTCTCAGCAGAGGATCGTCTTCCTGCCTCCACCACATATTTTCCTCACTTATACACGTATTCTCATATGTATGCCAATGCTCCCCAATTCTTCTTCCTTTCTCTTTTGTTCTCCCACTCCTACTTTCTCTCTCCCTCTCTCTAAGCCGAGTGCAGCTCCCAGTCTCAAGGCCCCTGTGTCTCAACTCCATTAACTCTCAGAGAACCCTGTTTGCGACTGAGCACCAAAGTGCATGTGTGTGTGTTCTGTTCTCTATCGACGCATGCAAGCTTTGAGCACTTTGTGCGAGTGTGTATGAGTCTGTAATGTGCTGCGTTGTCTGCATATGTCAATGTAGTGTGTGTGTGTGGCTTTTCATGCAATGCGAGTTTTGTGCTCTCCTTTTCTCTCTCTTCCCTTGTAGCTGTGCTCCATTAAATATGAGTGATGTTTTGGAAAGGGACATTACTACTGGAGCCGAGAGAGAAGCCAGCTCACTCTCATCACCCTCTCCTCTATACATCACCTCTTACTGACACCAATCTCTATTCATCCTTCCCTCCCTGCCTCCCTCTATGTCCCTGATTCTTTCTTCCGTCTCTCTGTCTTTATTTCCTGTCCTGTGTTTCTGCATTTCACTTCTCCCTTTTTTCTTTCTGTCTTTATACTCCTCTTTTCTTGTGGCCGTCTGCTGCATTGTCTGTCTTTTTCAATTCGGCTCCGCTCACTGCTTCACTCACTGTAATACATCGATAGTGAGGACACCGTAGCGAAGTTCAAGGTACGGTCATGTGCGAATCAAACTCAGAAGAGTGCACATAGTCATGCATTCAAGACAATACACATATACCTTAGCATGCTGTATGTGTCAATACGTAAAACCCACGTGTGTAAGACAGTCCGCGAGCTTCGTTTAGTACATTGCTTTGTGTGTGAGAGTGTCTTGTGTGTGTCTTCATCATCTACAAGGCCCACTTTTGCATAGTTTATTTCTTCCCAGAATGCACTTTGAGACCCTGGCTTTCATGTCAGTAGGGGTCTACGCTAATTAATCTCCATCACCAGGGTGACCATGTGTATGTGTGTGTGAGCGTATGTGTGTGTCATCATTGCAGTAGCCAAGATGGCCACCTGCTGAGGTGGGGTGACCGCTGTGGCCTCGTTCAGGGCAACGCTGGTTAAATACGCACACATGCAACACACACATAAACACACACACACACACACACACACACACAAACAACAGTACAAACATGAATGTGATTATGAATATTTTTTCACTAGCTCCGTCAGACAGTACAATACAATTATGCAGTTTACACAGTTTACAGCATGTTTGTTGTACTTGAGAAGCCATGAATTGAAAAGCAATAATGACAGAAAATTAGAGGATAGCGCCTGAGTTGTCTGAATGACAACACAAAATTCATTTCTGGTACAAAGCGACCTTGATGTGCTCCTTTAATGATAATCGCATTTCTGACTGTATACCAGTTTGATGTAATCACTATCAAGTTACCTGCTCCATCCCGTAACCTCTTGAATGTAATGGAAAATAGATACTGTGTAACCTTGTGTCCCCTCATCTGTTTAACATCACCTGCAATAGCTTTGAATGATGAGCTTATCAGTGATAGCAGCGTTGAATCTTCACTCTCACTGCAGCACAGACACACAAAAAAAACAAAAAAAAACCTACACACACAAACACGTGGTGCACTCTCTCCCTTCTCTCTTTCTGTCACACAAGGCAAACACACAGACTCAAATCACACACATGCTGGCTGTCTGCCACAGATAAAAACAGCAAAGATAATGAATGAGAGAAGAAGAAGGAGGAAGAGAACTGCTCCGATTTGACCGGATAAAACCGTTTAATGGCTCGCTTAGGAGTTGTCATTCATTTTCTGGGGCCTGATTACAAGGTGGAAGGCTGACTGGTCACCTTGCTCTGTTCTCTGTTTTTGTTTTGAATTAAATAAAAATGAAGAAATTGCACTGAGGGTTCATACATCTCACATTCTCACTTTGAATACTCATTCAGATGAAAAAAAAGTCAGCAAATTGTGGCAAGAATGTCTTCACAACTGAAAAATAACCCAGTAAAACAAGTGAAAGGTTGAGAATGATTCAATAACGACTTGTAGTATAACAAGGTCTATTTCTGTAAGGAAAAACAACATTTAATGTCGCAAAAAACATTTTAGGTCACCATTCAAGATTAAAAAAAAACAAAAAACACACTGTCATCTAATAGAGTACAATTTATTATTATGTCAGCAGAGGCACTAATTCAATATCTTGCCAAGGCTTTTCTGTTATAATGCTGATAATACACACATGTTGACCGTGAGTTTGCACTGGACATCTGTATACACAAGATAAATGATGACGTTTATGAAAAAAGCACTACTTATGTCCAATATAGGTGCCAAAATGTAATAAACATAACTACATGTAGCCCGGTGTAAAAGTACAGGGGTTAAAACAACTTAATTTGTAAAACAAATAATTATTTCAATTAATTATTTAAATAATTCAGTAATGCAAATAAACTGTAGTAAGTAAGTAATTTAGGTTAAAAGCTGTGAAAGATGAAACGTTCACCGAAAGATTAACATAAATTCATAATAAATAAAGTAGACTGTAAATAGTTAATTAAGTAGTTACATTAAACTGTTCTATATTGTAGCTGAAGAAAAGTGCAAGGTAAACTACGTAGGAATATACAGATTTGTGTCCTTGGTTCATGCTGTTTCATTTGATTGGTTGCTGTAGGTATCACTCAGTATCACCTGTTGGTAATTGGCCATAGGTAAGGGAGTGACCAAAAAAGGGGCGGAAGGAAAAAAGTGACAACAAGAGAGACGGGAGAAACGACGAGGAGGAGAGAAGGGAAGGACTGTGTTTCGCGCTTCCTGAGGAGGACTTTGCTTCTGCTGCCGTTTGTTTTCATCTTCATCTACTCCAGGACTTATTCCAGACCGTGGGTTGGATTTTCTGTGGGACTGGTAATTGTCACTGAGTATAAGGATTTGTCGGCCGCACCGCACCCAAAGAACACACAGGCCTGCAACTTTTTTTGTTTTTGTGTGCGTGTAAGAGTGTGTGTGTGTGGGCCCACTGTTTTGTTAAGAGGTTAGTCAAGTAGCATATTTGATCTGAGTCTAATAAGTATATAGAACTCGTATTAAAGCGGTAAGAACTAGGAATTTTATCAGAGACCTGAGATAATTTAAGTTTTGAATAGTATTTTAACCCATAAGAACCCAAATATTTGTTTTGTGACATATAGCTAAGTCACAATGGGCGTTTATGGTAAATAAATATTTTATTAATACCTAAATAATGTGACATTATTTTTTGTTCATATTTCTTCAGATATACTTTAAATTGAATAACAGGGCATATATTCATTCCAAATAATTGAAACAGTGAAATTAATTGAGTGGCCTATTACCTTTTTGTTATTGTGACACAGGCGTCACATCAGGTTTTCCATGACGAAGCCCGAAGTATACGTCACAGCGATATTTTCGTAACTTGTATATTATTTTGTTCAGGAAATATGGTCAGGACATGTTAAATGCAATACAGGACACACTATTAAAGCATTATAATTGTTAAATGGGTTTAAACTCACCTTAGTAACAAAACATAGCTACTTCCTTTTATTTCTGTCATTTCAGTCACACCCACATTTTGGAGAGGACACGTCCTGTCACACTCACATGACTGTCATATGACCACTACACCAGCATGTTTTGTATATGTCACTTAGGGACAAGGTCAAACATAAAGCTGTATATGGGAGATTCAAGGACATTTAAAGTATTTGTGACACACGTAGTAGGCTATAAAAAGTTTCACACAAAACAGGTAAACCTCCGAGGTAGCTACCTTTTAATAAATCAAACCCAAACACCCCATCATTCAAGTCCAAGGTGAGTTCCTTTAACTTAGGCATTTACTGAGTGTTGGGGTGCTAAATACATATAAAATGATTCTTTGAGGGTGCTTTACCCATAAATAACTTTCTGCTGCGGTGGTGTAGGTCATTTTGAAAAAAAGAAAAGGAAATCATTCTTGCATAAACAGCTGTCGGCGTTGCATCAGCCTACTTTCCTAAATATGGTCAGGTCCTTGTGCAAACTCTCTTAAATAATAACAGACCACTCTTTATAACCGCGGTTGATTACACAGTACCAAAATCAAATTCCATTTTATTTAATTATAGGTATTTACCAACGGGTAAGGTTTTACAATGAGGAGTACTCTGCTGCTGGTGATCCTGTTCAGTGTGTCTGGGACATGGGCTGAAGGAGACAATGGATGTGCTAACCAAGGTTTACAGACGAAGGATATCTGGGATGAGCTGAAAGCTCTGAGAGACATGGTGGTGGAGCAGAGGGTGGAACTGAGGAATACTAAGGCTGAACTGCAAACCCAGAGAGACAAAGTGGCTCATCTAGAGAAGGAGAACACAGGTAGTGAATCGACAATGTGACATTTAAGCTGGGGATGCAATGATTATTAGGAAAATTATGATAGTTTTCATTGTCAGATCACCTTTCACACTCTATCGTTTGGTGATATCAGAAAAACGTCTATCACAACTTCCCAAAGTAGACGTATTTAAGTGACTTGTTTTGTCCGACCACAAAGTTAATAGCTTTAATATCTAAATAGTATTGCTGTACGCTCTTATATTTATATATATATATATATATGTACACACACACACACACACACACACACACACACACATAATTGATGTAATTTAAGGCTGTAAGCTTACTGCTTGCAAAAAGCCCTACAATACTAGATCAGAAAACTCAATAAAAAAGGCTTTCATGAACTGAATATGAGTTTAATATGGTGTCATATCAGCAGCAATAGACAATAACACACCAGAAATGTATTTGTATGAAGATGTCATGGAATGCTACTCTAGACAGCCTTACTTAAAAGAACTTCATCCTCAGTCTCTGTGGTATTTCAGTGATGAGTTCCAGACTGACAGCCACCGAAAACAAGGTGACAGCAATTACAGCGGAGCTGGAAGCGACTAAGGCTGAACAGCAGCTCCAGAAGAAAAAAGTGGAAGAGGCTGAGAGGCTTATTTCTGGTATGTAATTACCAAAATCACTGACTTGATAAGGCTAGAAAATCTTGAAAACACAGTTGAGAAATGACTGGCTTTCATGCATCTAGTTCAAGCAGCAGAACTGGCAGCCCTAGTTTCCAGAGTGACAGCCAGGGAGGAGGAGGCGCAGGAGCAGAAGAAGGAGGTGACATCTCTCAGGGAGGAGCTGGATATTTCTAAGACTCAACTGCAGCTCACCAAGAACAAATTGGATGAGTTGGAAGGGACTATTGCAGGTATTTTGATAAGAGACCAGAAATACATACATACTAGACAGCATACCTTAAAAATATCTGTCTATCCTCCATTATTGCGTTGCCAAAATTGTATCTTTTTGCTCTAATTCCCCATCCTATGATTACAGACACACCAAAGCTGGCTTTCTCTGCTGGTTTGACCACCTCAGGAAAAATCGGACCATTCAATGCTGAAACTCCACTCATCTACAGTAGAGTCTTCACAAATATTGGTGGGGCTTACAACCCAACTACAGGTATACATTACCACAAGCAACTTAATACTGCCTTTGAGACAAGCAAAGCTGACCGACTACTGACCGCTGATTCTCTACTGTTGCAGGTATCTTCACAGCACCCGTCAAAGGAGTCTACTATTTCAGATTCACTGCCTTCAACAACAAGAAGGGAGAATGGATGGCAGTAAATTTATACCATAATAGTCAGAGGATTTTGCATAATTCTGAGTTAGCTAATGGTCATGCTTTCATTTCAAATGCATTAATTCTACAGCTGGAACAAGGAAGTGTGGTCTATATGCGTCTCCAAAAAGACTGTGGGCTTTATGATGATCCAAGCTCCTTGAACACCTTCAGTGGTTTCCTGCTGTTCCCTCAGTTACTTTCAAGGCTTTGATCATCTTTACACTTTCCAGTTTTCTACTACACTACACTTCCTTAATCCTTTGTGAATATTGTCTTTGGTTGCAAGTTGACTCTTAAATAAATAAATGAAAGTGCATGATTACCAACACGCTATCTGTTCTTCATCAAAGAAACAAGAGTGATTGTACTCCCAAGGTTTTGGTGCTCCATTTATTCAGTACTGAAATATTATTAAGGCATAAAGGCTGTGGAGAAACAGTGTATAGCTGTAAAGATTAAAGAACATTATGGTGTGTAAATGCATTAAAAGTATAAAAACTCTAATGAACAAGCTTACTTGGAGTGCAGAGTCTTAGGAGTATTTCTAAACAGCCCTCCACTGATATAGCTAATGTTTCATTTTACGGGTTATTTGGCTTATTATATTTTGCTGTATACAGTCTATGACCTTAATCCAAGTAACCTAATTACTTTAGGTTTTCGAATAAAATTTGTCTTAATTGCAAAACTAAAAAAATAAATTAACATCAAGCATTAGTGTGCATGTAAATGTGGGCCACATCTCACACTATCCTCAATAATTAGAACACAGCAACTGACAGCATATTTGTGTGTCACATTTTTGAGTGATACCCATTGGCTTTTTCACAAATAGATAAATCGTAATATTTATAATAATATAGTGATAATAGTCATTTAAAATAAAAAAAAACAAGAGAAAGTTGGCATTTATGAATCACATTACCAGTGCATGAACCAGTTGTGCCTGCAACTTGGCAGAACTGGTTATGGGAAGAGCTATGGAATTCATCCAAGTTCACTTATTGTTTCTCTTTTAAATCAGATTTTCTGGGACTTCAGAGCCTCGATCAGCACATGAACCTTCAGAGCCTCTCATAATCGGCTCTGTGTCAAACTGCCTGCATGAAAATCTCAATGTCAGATACAGTAGTAGCACAATGCTGCTGCTGTTAACTTCAGCCATAGCAGGATTTCTGGAAATCTTTCACCAAATCTTGCTTTTAAACATTTTTTACAGCATGGTTAGGATAATATAATAAGACTTTTTTCCTAAATTTTAAATGCACCAATGCAGTAATTGTCATATCGGTAATAAGTCATATTATCTAAAAATAATATAGTAAGAGTCAGTATATTATTTTGTTTTATTTAGATTTTTAAGTTATATATTGTAAGTGTTATAAAACAAAAATGGCAGGTAAACAGAAACGACAACAGTGCTGCTGTCCTTGTAGCTTTTGCCCTAGCTGCTGGTCAACACTTCTCGCTTCATCAACATAAATTATTGAAATAGTATGTAATGACCAAAGCAACAGATTTTACCATGATATATCACATAGCACATCAATCTGGGTTTTGTGCCCATGTTTGGAGATAGTTTTAGGGGTTCAAAAAAACAAAACAAAAAACAGAGCCCTGTGTCCTGCACACAAGCAAAAACCCTAACATTACAGACATTATGTGCATACAGTATTGACACAAGGTACTCATTGGGCCTGTTATCATGATAACACCAGATATGACATCAACAAGAGATATTTCACACAGTGAAGTCCAAAGTGTAGCAACATTGCAAAGTCCAAAGTATGAGCTAAGTAAGAGCTTGACCTTGTAAATAAACCAGTTAAAATTTAACTAAAGGAAAACCGGTTTGACTGATGCACCAACAGTAGCTCCTGGGGCTCCCAGTCTCCAGTTTGGGTCTCTTTGAGACCTTCTTAAGCATCAAAAGTTTTCCTGACTCACATTGTTACTTTGGCTGTTGTCGTTGTGTCAGGCTGAGACACGTGCTCAGGCAGAAAGTAAAAGTGTAAAGTCAAATCAAGTACAGCACATAGGGTTTGTGCCAATACACAAACAGACAAGTGGGCAGAACAGCACCACCACCCCTGACATATGGGCTGAGCTGAAAGAGCGGAGACACACGGTAATAGAACAGAGGGTGGAGCTGAATGTCACAGAGACTCAACTTCAATGACAGAAAGACAAAGTAGCTGATGTGTGGAGTGAGAACGCAGGATAATACAATGCTACATTTAATAATACAGCTGGCTTTACACAGTGTTTTTTTTCGCTTTAAAAGACATCTATGTCATTTTTGGAAGATGTGTTATGCATTTAACATGTTTCATTTAATGACTCAAATCATAGAGAGGCAGATTTAAGTAGCTGGTTACATGCCAACTGCAAAGTCAAACTAAGTAAACTAAGTAAACAGACGGCTTTTATAATGTTTCTTATCATCACAAAGAAATTAAGCACTAGACAATACTATATTTTAGTTAAATACAAACAAATAAAAGCCATTTCCTGGACCTGGATCATTTTCTATTCATTTGCTCATAGTTTCTAGTTTGAGGTCATGGACACTGAGCACATTGCTTGAGATTTATCCATAATACAGAGTGTTAGAGGATCAGCGGATCCAGAGAGGATCAGTGCTATTATGAAGTTAGCAAGTCTAGACTCAGAAAGCCCACACCCTACATTCAAGACTGTTTATCTGTCTATGTGTGCACTTGTGCAGGTATTGTATTTCTATTGATTTACAGCTACAGTATATATGCCATGATGGATCAATGATGGATAACAGACAGTAGCATCAGACTGATCCAATTCTGAGGAAAGGGAGAGCTAGAGAAAGCTAAAATGAATAAATATGATTTTTATTTTATTTTTTAAATGAAGTAAGAAGTAACAATTCAGAATGACATGCCAGTAGCAACAGTAAACAAGGGCAAAAGTGAGGAAAAGGGGAAAAACATAAAAGAAGAGAAGAGTTTATTCGTATTGCAGTGATTTTACACTGGGTGAGAAAAATGTATTGCTAATTACACAAAAACCTGCAAATGATGTACTTTGGAAGAAGCAATGACAAGATCAGAATAACAACTACAAGTACTTTCATGGAATGACACCCTTTCCGCAAATAGCCAAATATACTAAAAGGACTGTAGCTTGTTAAATATCTAAACTGTATTAACTGAGAACTGTAAAACCAAGAGTAGGAGACAAAGATATCTTTTACAGGGTCTTAACCAAAGCCAGTAAGATGGTCACTACTTATAAACTATTATACATCATGAAACGATAACATGGGCTCAGATCCCCTGATAAAATGGAAAATTGAGGTGGGAGTTATTATAGCCGATAGAAGGCGGCCAGGTGAATACTAATCAAATTCTCAGAGGCAGAAGCTGATTACATAGATATCAGAAAGTAATAAACAACAATTATCATATTATCACATTACACATGGGGAAGAAACATTATTTATGGCTGTTCGTAAAGGTTTTTTTCTTTGTCTTATCTCCCTGTGGAACAGCAAAAAATCTCTGTCGAGTGTAGATATTATTTCTGAAACATTACCATACTGCTTCTCTTTTTTTTGCTTTCTTTCCTCCTCCCATCATCTCTCATCCTTACTGCTCCTTTTCTCTGCTCTCCTTTCCCCATCATTTTTCTCCTCTCCTCCTTCTTTCCTCCCATCCTCTCTCATCCTTACTGCTCCCCTCCTCTCTTCTCCACCTGTTTCTATTACATATTGATCCTGTATGTACAGTATAAATGAATTTTGTCTGCAATGAATTTATGGGGCCCTCTGGCATTCATGAATTTATCCTCTCCCATCTCCTCCACTCCTAAATATTCGGTCCTCCAAGGTAGTCTGAAGAGCTTTGCACGTCTTCACAGATGGCAATATGCCAGCCACACAAAGCCTGAGAATACAACATATTAAGCCTTGCCTACACACACAAACATAAAGCCATAAAGGCACAAGGACACACACACACACACACACACACACACATTGGGGGAATGAAACAATACAACATTATAATCGGGGTGGCGGTAGTGTGTTTTTTCCCCCTTAAATCTGTGCCTCGGGCCTTTCCATTATTGTAATGCCTTATGCTTCCTATTTGGACTGTGCAAGTAACCTTGTGTGTGTGTGTGTGTGTGTGTGTGTGTGTGTGTGTGTGACTGATAGTAATTCTGCACCTCAAAGGAACTGATGTTATTACTTCTGGCTGAGTTGATGGGTGTGAATGCATGCATGCAAGAACACACACACAGTTTTAACATAGTAAAATATTTCAGCTTTAGAGGTGGCTGAATCCCACAGTTTCTGCTGCCTGTGGCCTTGTCCTATTTTGTAATGAACCTTGCCTCTCACTGTGAATGATTTGTGGTATGACATATTTCCCTGCTGGTATCAAATAGGCTGATTTATAGAAATGATGAAGAAATAATTATGAAGTACAAAGCAGACGGAAGAGTTATCCATGCACAACAGATACCTGTTTTTAAAGATGTTAGAGAGAGAAAGGCATAATAAATTCAGTTTACAGAGAATATTTGAGATAATGATACGCAAGTGATACAACAGTTATGTAAAAGTATTGAAAGGAAATTTAAAAAAAAGCAATGACAACATGAAAGGTTGGACATGTTGGTGCTCTTTTGCTACTGGGCCGAATGATAACAGCAATACAATGTGCAGGAGTGTCAAACAAGCAATATATTTTCTCCTTAGAACAAGCACTAAATTTGCCTCATGTCAGTTCTCAGTTACTTTTGCAATTATCTTGCCTTCTTGTTCCTTGTCACCGTCAAAAAGCATACAATGAGGCTCAGAGACTTAAATCATACTTTCATGTTTTCCTGAAGCTACAGTAACATAAGCTATAGCATATTCAATTCAATTCAAAATTAATTATATCAGTACTTTCGTCTTTTGTCTTCTTTGACAACCAAACAGGAGTATAAAACCATATTTCCTCACTTTGTTGCATGAGGACCTCTTAGGAAATTAGATTCCTCTGTCTCTGCAAAAGCACTGGAGACTGTGAATATTGTTTCCATGGAAACAATGCTGGTGCCCAATAACTCAATAATTAATCAAGAGGGGTGATCAGAGGATAGCATCTTCAACACACATACTCAAAGACAAATACCAACACTCACCCCACCCTCAGCTATTTGTATCAGGCACAAAAGGAGCCCTTTTTTACTGGCTTTTATTGGATCATTTCATGGTAGGTAATGTGGAAAATAGGGGTTTGATTTATATTTGGGCACATCAAAACATGCTTTGGTCCTGCTGTACGGTGATCAAGGCAAC